TCTACAGTGTTCCAAATAGACAACTAATATTACACCAATTTATCTTTCTCATGTAGAAACTATAGTTTAGGCTCCTTTCATTTTTTTTGTTTGTGGGGTTATTTGCTTGGGTCAAGAGGATATTTGTGCAAAAAATGACATAAAAAAAATAACCTAATATCAAAACAATTGTGGGTGTGCTGAACTTGCAACTGTACTTGTAGATGTAAGGTTGCACAAATCTACACCATCAATTTTATTTGGATGGTGTAAATTTGATGCTACTCATTTGGCACTGTCTTAAACACATGTCAAATCTACACGGTTCAACTAAAATATATTATTAGAAAACATTGCTACTTTATTTCTATTTATCAGTGTTTTTAAACTTGGTTGAGTTGACTTTGACTCGTGTGAGTCATTGGGCCCATCTTGGCAAGGTGAGTAGTGGTGCCTATACTTGGGGTTTGTGGGCAATTGTACCATACTTAAGTTATTATTGTGCTGACTCGCTTGCCCCGAGTTTTGTAGTCTTGTGAGTTCTATAGTACTTGGACCAATCTGTGTTGCACTTGCTCGAGTTATGTAGATCCACCCATTTTCTTAATAGGGGCTCCAAGTCGCCTTTTTAAAGCAACAAATTAGATTATGCTAGAAAATCATCAATGTAGTTGAAAGCATTGGATTTGCGAAGTTCATTTGTTTTCTCACATTTGTATATTGAAGAAATGTGGATTTTCTTACTTGATTTTGAAATTTTTTGACTTATTCACATTTGATGGTCCAACTTTGATGAAAATCAAACCCTGCATATATATTTGTGTTTTTATCCACCCATAGAATAGTTCTTCCACAAAAAACAAAAATGAAGTTAGGGTTTTGTAGCTTTTAGATTCGGATTTTCAATTAGTTCGAAATTTTGGATGTCTCGGATCTCCTAGTTCCGAAGTCTAAACCCAACAATTGTTTGGGGGTTTTGACAAGGGATGCATGCAAAAGGTGTGGTCAGGATGTAAAGTCTCTGCACCGAGCATGATATAACAGGAAAGGATAATAATAAAAATGGCATAGGCATAGTAGTATAAGGATAAAATAGTCGATATTAAGAGATTAGGTGATACGCTCTGATAATTAAACTTGTGTTAAGGGAGGAGGTAATTAATGTAATTATTGCGTACACACCATTGGTAAGACTAGAAGATAGAAGTAAAAGACAATTTTGAAAGGACATGGATGGACTAGTCCAAGGAATTAATAAATGGCCATATGCAGCATTGACCTAGATCGGCTATGAAGAGCGACTTGGTTCAAGTAGAAGCTCTAGAAGTGCAATGGGAATGTTCAAAAGGACATAGTTAGAAGTAGTGAGAAGGGATATGATGACTTATTGTCAGACTGAGAGGATGGCCCTTGATAGAGCGGAATGATGGAACATGCTTCGTAGTGCTGACCCCAAATAGTTTCGGATAAGGCTCAGATGATAATGATGATGATGATGATTTGCTCCAAGCACAAATATTGGGAAATCGGCATAGAAATTTCATTTATGTTACATTTTTTCTATTTAAATTCATAAATTGTTTTTTACTTATTCAATTACAATTGATTTATGATATGTATTATATATAATCTTAAGGTTTTTTATAATGTTTATGATTGATTATTTTTTCATGTTTTTCAATGTTTTGTATTGTTTTAGAAGCCAATAGCATCAATTTGTTTTTCATGTCATGTTTTTATATATGTTTTCTAATTTGATTTAATTTTTTGGATTTTAACATTTTTCATTGTTTTTGGGTTTTTTTCTAAATTTTTGTATTTTTTTTTCTTTATTTCTCCCTTTTTGGCCTTAAGGTGCACCCCGGCTGATTGGACTTTCTTGAGCAACTCAACAAGGGCATGGCTCGGGTTTGGTTAAACATTTTTTATGGATTTAAATAAAAAATAGGATTTACCTTATTTTAATGCCAAAATCTTGGTTTTTGTGCTTGATGTGAGTCTAGGTTTCAAATTCGACAAGATTCCTTATGCAGTACAAGTGAAAACCTCCATGTAACATTTGGAATTTGCTTTGGATCTATAAGCTCAAGGTTTCAAATTTTCGGATTAATAGAAAAATTTGAAAATAATAACGAGAATTTTGTTTTTCTTTTAATTTTTGCTGAGGAACTAATCCAGAATGAATCAGTAACAGAAATGATCCTAGGCTTAAATTTTCATCAGGATCGACAACTAGAAAAGAAGATCTGAAAGTTCTCCAAAATTGTAAATTTTTTTTCCCCATTTTAGGATCTTCAAAATGTGAGAAATATGATTTTTTATTAGATCTAATTGTTGTATTTGATAGGTCTCGTGATTTTGTACTTGAATATGAATTTGGGGCTCAAATGGACTCATTATAGGGCTCTAGTGGTAGGGGTGGCAATGGACCTGGAACCGACCCATACCCGCTAGGTATACCCGACACGGGTCCGGGTATGGGTCCAAGTTTTGGACCCGCAGGTAGGATCCGAGGCCAATAAAGGATACGCGGATAGTCCCGGGTCTAGGTACGAGTCCTACTATACCCGACCCGGCGGTTACCTGGACCTGAATTTTTAGTTTACCAAAGGGCCAAAGCCCCAACGCAAAATAGTTTCAATACTTTTCATCGATTCCCCAAACAGTCAACCCCATTGCCATCCTCCTTTGCAATTCTCCCTCTCTCGGTTTCTTGGAGACATAGCTCTCTCTGGATCTCGAAGGTCTCTCTCTCTCTCTAATCGCCCACCCCTCAAAAATCAGTTCTCTGTTTTTCTCCATTGTAGGCTACAAAAAAGGAAGCTCATAGTGAGGGTGGCAATGGACCCGACTAGACCCGATGGGATAGACCCGGGATCCGATGGGTACGGGTATGGGTCCAACTTTTGGACCCGACAGGTCAGGTCTGGGTCCAAAACCTGGACCCAAATACATTCGGGTTCGTCCGGGTCCAGCCGACCCATATCTGGTGGACAAACATTTACAAAAATGGGAGGCCGTATTTCTGGCCCTTGATATATTTAATATGTAGCTTAGCTTACGAAACTCAGACTCGCTTGAGTTCTACAATACTCAGCAGTGTATGCATAGTAATCAACCAAGAACTATATTGGTTCCCATGTACTCGAGTAGGTATGGTGGAACTCGCCTCGACCAAGGCTGAGGTTTTAGATACTGTTTTGATCCCAACTTTTGTAGATGACTATATTCATTTCAATGAACAAGCTTATAAAAAATCTAAAAAGAAACATTGGTCTTCTTTCGATGGAAGAGAAAATGCAGTGGATAAAGGCTTTTTGTTTCAAGAAAGAGACTTGTTTGACCTTAAATTCTATAAAAGAAAAATATGTTGAGCTTATAAAGGCTTATATGTTAAATGAGTGACTGACATTTCCCTAATGTCCCGTCTCCCAAGAAAAATATTTTTTATTTGCTATTTTTTAGACTGTTCATTGTGTTGAATGTAGATTATGTGCAAAATTTGGGGTTAAACAAATCCATAGAGATAAATTATTTTAGGAGTTTTTGGCCCATGAGGTAATGTTGTAGAAGTTATCTCGGAAGTGACCAACATGAAATAAATTAAAAGAGTCAAGACAACGAAATTGGTAGTAGAAAAGACACTTGTCACAAAAATAAAGACGACCATATATATATATATATATATATATATATATATATATA